TGACTTCTGGCGCCGATATTAGTTTCGATATATCACGTAACATTATTGCATAATATGGATGATAGGTTCTTCGAAATAATTTTAAATACATATGTTTTTTATTAATTAAAAGTATATGGCATTAAACATCGATGAATATGAATAGGCAAATTATCATTAGAAATATTGAGCCGAAGGTATGTTAATTGACATTTATCAGAACAGCAATTGATGTATCAACTATTTAAATCAACGAAAAAAACATGGTAAATAGAATATCTAATTTACTACTCTCATACATATAATTTATTTTTATTTTCAGAGACCTCACTTTATATCTCAGGTTTGCGGCACAATCATATTTCCGAGAGGCAATACTTTTCTAAAAATAGTTACTGTTCAAAGACGTCTTAATTCGAATATATAGAATCTCAAATTCTGAAACTGTATATTTAATGTTGAATATGTGAGTCACTTACGTAGAAACAGTTCAAAAACGAAATTCGAAAATGTGAGTTTCTTGGAAATCAAATATGTTGAGATTTATCACTAAATCAAGATGTAATATCTACAGGCAAAACAATCATTGCAATTAGAATAAAGAATCTGGAAAGATACTCTCATTAGCGTTTACAAATTGTTGGAAATACCCGTAAAAAAAAGAAATTCGTTTGAAACAGCGTTCCAAAGCACATTTTTTTGTTATATTACATTTACGTGATCTAGTGACAGAGTGTTTGATACTATTCAAATCCATGAAAGTTATCGTGATTGAATGAAACTTGTATAACAAACTAAACAAACTTATTTTACTATTCCTAGAAGTATGAGACACTGAACCTCATCCATTTTATTTCCTTATCTATTTTTTCGACCTCTAATTGTTGAAATTATAATGTCATACTACAATGCAGTTCAATCGAGACTAGACAACGTTGTTTTATTAAACATATTCATTGGATAAAATTTTCAAAGATGTCTTACTTTTTTTATGTTGATTAATTAAAAGACTATATGGGTGAATCTCAACTTTGTATAAATTTTATCTAAAGAAATGTACGTCTAACAGTATAGCTACAGTGACACGAGTATAAGCATATGAGTGTCGAAATTTAGTAATAAGAAGAAAGTATTCTCGAACTGATTGTTTGTGTTTTTTAATGAAAAAACGCCCGTTCCAACACATTTTACAAAATGCACGTAAACTCTAGCAAAAACATGCGGCTTAGAATACGAAGGCATTCAAACGAAATTTTTGCAACTTTTTTCTTGTGAGTAAATACGAAGCAATTGATAAAACTTATCTTGTTGTTCTCTGAACCAGATAAATGTGAGTATGTCCATAATATCGTTGAAGTTTTTGTAAAGAGATTTATTCAAAATCGCATAGATTAATAACACATCTCATCTAAATCTAGATTTCGCTCTGATTTCTAGTCTTAATTCTGGTAGTCGGTCAAAAGAATAATTAGCTTCAGTTTCGATAAGTCTGTGTCCGACAAGGAATTGAAACATCTGTTGACGAAGATTTCTATAAATAAAAAACTCTCGAATTTCATCGATATAATTGATTTCCGACACTTTTTCAAAAATTTAAGATTAGAAAAACAAAGAACTTGTTGATTATGATGAAAAAAAAATAAAAGAAATTGATAAATAACATTATAACAATTTGAATTTGTTCCATCAAAATGAATATATTTTATACAAGAAAGAAGAGACGGAGAATTACAAATTAATGATTGTAAGATTAATGCAAACTTCTTTTAAGATAAATCTGACGGATTAAAAATATTTCCAAATTTATCTAGTGAAAATGTTGAACAAAATAATACAATTAATACATCTATTTAATGATCAAAATGATATTAAGATTTTATCTCATGATAAATAGAAAAATATATTAGGCAATCAACTCTATTAAATTAATGTAAAAGTGTTTTTTGTAGAACTTTCATATATGTTTTCGAAGAATATAATGTGTGTAAATTTTAAATCGAATGTTTTCGACTCCTCTTTTCATTATAGATCTTAGCAAATATTCTATCTTATGTGGTATATATGAGTTCCATATTTTTTAATTTTGTCAAACACGATCTAAAAGGACTGTTGAAGTTATCGAGTTGCAGGTGTACATTTTCGTGGACTCAAAGAACAAAAAACTGAATCTGGACTCTTTCAGCTTCAGGCTTCGACTCGAGCAGATCCTAACTCAAATTTTATTCCAGCAATATTCATACACTTGAATCTTGTTGCCCCACTTCTCATCTAAGAACTGAGCTTAGTATGATAATTGCCCTTTACTTTTCCTTCATACTCATTGCACTAGATTGGAAGTGATACATTTCATGATCGACATTTATTTACAATAGGTACGGATTCATAAATTGAAACATATACTGATTATTTTATTTTTTATACCACATCACAGTTTCGTTTTATTGATATTCTTTTTAAGAAAAACGAATTGAAATGTAATAATTCTTATTGAATTAATAATATACATGAAAGATTGACAATTACACTAATGATTCTTACTGATATTTATTTATAAATAGATAAACTAGAAATCACAGCGAAACAAGGAATTAGGATGAAAGTTCGATTCAAGGCTAAATTTTTCATAGCACAAAATAGAATTGTAAATGATCGATAAGTTTCTAACTAGTGTCAAAAAAATCGTTTATGTATTGATTATCCTTTTGAGATTCAATTTGTGAGAAGTCTTCAGAAAGTTATATCATGTTATACTCATTTACATGTATCAAGTTCTTCAAAGATGACAAAATCATCTTCAAGTACAACTAGAAGAAATCTTTGTAAACGAAATTTTTATCGGATCGGGCACGTCTATACCATGAAAGAGTTGTCCATTTTGAAGCCTGATTCGACCATCGCAATTTTTACATCTCTTTTCAGCGTATAGCCTGCTGCCATATCGGTATCGAATTAGACTGATCAGAACTGTTGTTCAAAGAAAGACTATACAGTTTCTATCACTATTATGACTGTGAGATATAAAAAAAACAATGTTTTTCCTTAGACTAGTCACCACAGAGACTTTTATTTCTAGAAATAAACAAAATATACGACTGCTTTTCGTGTATCTCATTTTCGATTGTCTTGTTTTTCAAAAAATCGAAATTTCCTATCATACCATGACTTAGATAACCGACTGACAAGTAAATGTTTAGTGTCTGTGCTGATAAAATCTCTCACTCTCATAATCAGACTTATACAATCATGGATAATATTCGTATCCAAAAATGTAATCGCCATTGTGATGCGAAGCGAAGAATTTCTAGAGCGTGGGTGTGGCTTTAGATCAGAAGAAAAGGAGAACAATAACTTTCTTAATTTTCACAATGCTTTCTTCGCATCCGTTTATATGCTTTTTAACAAAAAGAAAAGTTCCTTTCTTCACGAATGATACTAATATATTATTCAACGTATCTAAATAATTTACTTTATGGTGAAGATTGATATTGAAATATTTGTAGGTTTTTTTCTAAAAAACCAATAACAAGATTAAATTGATATTCTAATTTGTGAGTTAGTTGTAAATGAAGATTAGAGAAAGAAAAGTTTTTGCCTAGTTGTTTATAAGCTGTCGGATGTTCATCCAACCTGAATTGACACCTTTTTTTGTCTTTTTTTTCTGTCATCGTTGAGGAAAATGATGGTGTTGTCGACAAGTTTATTTTCAATCGGAAAAGAGATTTAGTTTTGACGAAGCGGAAAAAATAAAATATATTAAGTAAAAAACGGCAAGACAACTAGATGTTTTTTCTTTTCAAAATAAAAAAAAACAACTCGAATAATACGTATTTTCTTTCGTTTATTTTTAGTAGATCATTTGAACAAAAAACTTTTATTTAAGAAAAATTTTTTTTTAAAAAATCCGAATGTTTCTTCCTGCTAATAATTGGCTGATCATTATTATCATTCGATGATGAATCAATTTGATCTAATTCATCTATTATTGCATTTCCATATTCTTGAATGATTTTACCATCTTGTTTTTACTGTTGTATGATGTTTATCTCCACATATTTTACTCATTGTTTCAGTTTTGTTATTTTCATTTTGATTTGATGATTATTGAATTTGTTTTTCAATAACGCATCTTCTCGATGGTGTTGTTTCTCGTTTCATTGTTGTTATTATAAAATTTCTTGGAAATGCTCCATTAAGACCATGTTTTTCTATAGTAAAATCAAGATTTTCATCGCCATGATGATTATCTACAAAAGATATTGATTTAAGAAAATTCGTTTTTAGAATAGGTTTTTATTTTTTTTGTTACTTTGAAACTCTGTAGTTGCGAAACTGGAGAAAAGTCAATCGAAATCAACGAAGATTTTTTCAATTGGGGAAAATAAACCATTGAATAGAAAATCATCATCATTATTATCTTCCATTTTAGTTTTTAGAATGGAAATTTATTTCTCAATGTTCATTTTTATTTTTATTTCAATATGAAGAAATTTATAAAACAAAAAGGATATCGTTAGATATTTAATTATCTCTTAGTCTTCTTAATGACTTCATTATATTGTTAAACGTGATCAAGAAAAGGCTAGCAGTATGAATATTGAATAGATGCGTGTAGGTTGTCACTTGAATGAGTCAATCGAGATACTGCAAAGGTAGAATATCAAATGAAATCATGTCGATAAAATTTCTTAAACAATTATTAAGTACTCAGTTGCATTGATGTCGTTTCATAAATCGAGATTATTTATTCTTGTATATTATCATAGAATTTCAATATCTACTGAAGTGAACTTAGTTCAAACAAATGTATTAACTCTAAATTCTCGTTTTAGAAACGGATTTCTTTATCTTGAAATAAAAGAAAAACGTTCTAATGATAAGTTACTTTTTCAAAATGATAAATATATGCATTAAAAGTTAATAATAATGATAATAGAATTAGAATTCCAATTTCAGTTGCATTTGTAACACGACATAATTGTCCTTGAAATTCCGGTAAATGTGCTGCACCGAATAATAGATTTTCACTAAACAAGAAATAAAAATTACTTTAAATTAAATTCGGTTTCATTTGTAAATTTCATACCGATAAATGTGGTACATAGGATGCTGCACAAATATTAAATGGATTATATTCATCATAATTTAATGGATGTACAGCAATTGGATTTTTTTTACGAACACTTAATACTTTCCGTGTCTAAACAGAATAATACAAAAAAATAAGTTTTTATTCTTTTTTGTTCGTCTTCTAAAATAATTCAATCAAAATTATGTTTCATTTAACAAAGAATAAACTCAATTGTTCCGAATAAATCAAAAAAACATGAACAACTTCGATCAACAGATATGACATATATTTGAGTGCATTACAGATAGCTATATTTTTATAAAGATTTCTTTACTAGTAGACCTGAGAAATTAATTCACAATGCTTGATTAAGTGCAAATTTTAATGTCATGATTTTATGTATTAGTTGTAATTGTAAATGAGTAAAATCAGCAGCTAATTTACATGAATGTTTTTCATTATCTTTTCCTAAGTCTTTTTTCCCATTGACATTTGTAAATCAACAATATTTTCTTTACATATTTCAATTCATTGTTGATCTTGAAATTTTCCATTTTTTGTTAAAACGATAAGCGATTTGACAACGTCCAACTAATTTTTCTGATTTAAATCCAACTGCTAGATAAAATAATTTTGGTAAACGTGCATCTCGCCTTAATAATTAAAATAAAAATTTAAAAATATTTATTAAATAAACCAATAATTTATATATTTGAATAAAAACATACAAGATCAGGTGGTAATTCAATTTCAGTATCACCCCAACCTTCATCGTGTTCATCTTGATTATTATTAAGATTTTTTCTATTAAGATCATCTTCATCACCTTCAATTTGTACTTCGTCATAAACCCAATCTCGACCACTTGTTGCTGTTTCATCAATGTGAAGACTGACAGCAAATTTTTCTGTTATGTTTTTGATATTAAACCTGCTTTGATTCTTGTTGATTTATTTGGACATGGTGGTAAAATTAATTCAGCATTTAGATTTGTTTCAGATAACTAAAATAAATAAATATTTTATTTTGAATTACTGAATTTAACATGAGATAAATATTGATTAAATGTATGTCTATCTTATTATTTCATATCTAACATATCAATTAAACAAAGAACAAGTAATAATAATTTTGTTGAAGTACCTCAGTCTATCGGCTTATTTCTTTTTTGAAATAGAGTATGAAAATTCTTCTTACTTTTTTAAAATCTACATTCTAATGAATATCAATCAGAGAAAATAAACTAAATTAACTATGATATGGTGATTATTTGAAATGTCTTTCAAAAAAAAAACACGTTATCATTCAATGTCGCAATAAACTTCGAGAATCATCATAAACTTCTTTATACAACAGTACAGAAAATTCTTTAGATAAATGATGTGTTGAATACAATTAAAGATTGTTTAAAAATTATTTAATATCTCAAAAAAATTGGTATATTTACATGAAAACCTATAACTAGTTTTCAAGACTTTCAATTAAAGATATTAGAAAACGAAAAATAAAACTTTCTAAATTGCTTTAATTTTTTTAAAAACCCTCTCGAACGAAGTATTAACATGAGAGTAGTTTTTATCCATAATAAATTACTTTTTCATCAAATGATTCTATTGTATAAAAAAAGTCATAACATAACTCAATCTCATAGAGAAAAAATATAAAATATTACTTTGATTGCATTGCCGAAAAAGTTTAATACGTTCCTCAACATCCCCTAATAAGATTGCAATTTGAAATTGTCTACTAACATCTTTTCGTACTTCAGCTAAACAGAAAAAAATAAATTAAAATAAAAACAATAAGAAATTTTTCAAACCAATTTTCATCATTTTTCAAGAAATAGATAATTGAAACTATTTAAAAGAAACCACAAATAATTTATATCAATATTTCTATATTTAAGTGCTAAGCCAAATCTTGTTTTTGCATCATTTGTTTTCAAGATAAAGATTTTTGAAAAGAAATTTGTAAATTTTACTTCATCGTATTTTCTATTACTTTAACTTTTGTTATATGAATAAGCAAATCAAGTGTACGAATAATTTCATGATCACCATTAATAAGTGTAGAAATAATATCATTTGATGTTGTATAATTAAAAACATCTGAATCATCCTAATAATGATAAGTAATTCATATTATTTGACCATATTGCATATTTAGCTTTGCCTATTCTTACACTGACTACTTAACGTTTTTGCTGAGCATCATATAAATTAATATGATCATTTTCACGAATTAATAAAAGATCTATACCACCATAAAAAAATTAATGAAAAAAATTAAAAATAAAGAAACAAACGAATTTAAACTTACAATATGGTTTTTATCAAGGACAACAATTCGATTTTCGAGCAACCTATACGGTATTTAAATCAGATGAACAACTTTCAAGTGTTGAAGAAGAAAAATATACATTTAAACTATCAAACAATTTAGATCAGATATCTTTTTCTTTTTTGAAGTGAAGCATAAATTATTTTTTTTCCATATTTGAAGATATCTAATAAGAATAAACCTGATTTTCAATTTAACAGTGATGAAAGAAATCGGAATCGTCATCCATTAAAATCTTTTTTTTTTGGTTTCGAATAGATTATAACATCCGAAGTTTATGTTGAACTTGTTGATACATCAGCATCTTTTGGAATAGTATAAAGATCATAAATAGAATTATCCGATTGAGATGGTACACGTGGATCACTAATATGTTTTTTTAAATTAAATAGAAAAAAAATTTTTTTTTATAAATACTTAGAACATTCACTTTTGTAATTTCATAAGAGAAACATCTTTTGATGTTGTGATTTCCGATCGTCGTAAATATTTTTCTTTAAACATAATAAACAAGATTTCTAATAACAGCATAAACTGGTCGTTCACGTTCCAATTTAAATATGATCATTCCATCATTATGACCTACCAAAAAAATATTTTACTTTACTTTTAGAGTGTTGGTGTGGGTGTTTTTGTGAGATATCAGAGCATTAGCATACATTCGCACAGCCAGACACCCACACCCATACATCCATGATGTCTACAACAGATATGACGCGTATTATGCAAATGGAACAATTACTAGAAAGATGAGTTTTTCATTTATAAACAAAACTTCAGTGAAATGTAGTACTACGAGCATCTTCCTTCAGTTAACTTCAGTTTTTTGACAAAAACTCTCAAATGCAATCTTAATATTATTTTTTATTTTAATCATCGCTTCATGGTGAAATTTTACTCTTGTTCTCATTTCTCTCCTATATGATATTAGCATTTTAAATATAGAAAATAGCAATATGGACATAACGTAGACACTCAAATGGTTTTACCATCAAATCAATGATCATATGACGTTTCGAGCAGTTTTGTGGTGAGATTTATCATTCAAATAAAAAACAATCTTATAACTGATTAATCGAGTTTCTTAATCATTGGTATTGCTTTAATTTTGATAAATATTTCTACCGTTATTTGTTCAATACGAGAAAATTGCAGATCTTAGCTATCAGTTCTTTTTAATACTTAATTCAGTGAATAGTTTTTGGCGTATATGTTTGAGAAATTTCAAACTAGCTATTTATTCAAAAAGCGTTTATGAGCATATAAAAGAGGAAGCATGAAAAAAAAAAGAATTTTGTGAAGTAAATTTGTTATTTTTTACGAGTTAATGATACAGAGAAAAGAAAACAGAATCAATCGATGTTTTATGCTGATTATTGTTATGTCAACTGAAATTTTAGTATTCGTAGTTTCGATCGTTTTGCTATTCTTCTTTCTCTTGTTGTTCTTCTTATTCGTCGTCGTCTTGACCATCGTCTTCTTCATCGTTTTCTTGTTCTTCGATTTCTTCTTCTCCGTCCTCTGCATCTTCTTCATCTTCAAAAAGTTCAGAGTCGTCTACGTCGTCATCTAGTATCTCATCATCTGCCTCTATGAAATCATCTTGATCTGCAGGATCATTTACATCTTCGGAGTCACCTTGACCTGCGGCATTATCTCCAGCTGCAGCATCATCTCCAGCTGCAGCATCATCTCCAGCTGCAGCATCATCTCCAGCTGCAGCATCATCTTCAGCTGCGGCATCATCTCCACCTGAGCCACTACCTCCACCTTCGACATCATTTCCACCTGAGGCACCAGCTCTACGTGAGCGATAAACTCGACATTGAACATTACCAAATAGATCATTTTTATTCCAATGTTCAGAACCTAAATTAGTTGTATCCACTTCACCAATAACCCATGCCGAAAGACAATATTTAGGATTAATCATATATTGATACGGAATATAACAATATCCAGCTTTACCCTAGCAGCAATTGAGACATAAATATTTTTTTTCAAAGAGGTTTTTATTTACCCAATTTGGTCCCCAGGAGTTTCGAACGATAAAGCGTTGTTGGCTATTATCATAACCTACAGCTAGCATTGTATGTCTAAAGTAGTCAGTTTTAGTTTAAAATTTTTGTATTGAAATAAAATCAAACCCTATCTGTTTTTGTGCTGCTAAATCATGTGGTGTTGGCATTCCTACAATACCATCTAGTCTCGCTCGCGAGACTGCAGCATATGGACGTAAGAGAAATATAAATGGATATCCTTTTGCAAGGCATGCTTTCATGTCATTTAATTTCGGATTCAGTCGACATGCATTAAGTAATTTCTTGTTTTGTGCTAATCTGTATGCTTTGCCAGAAGGCTTTGTATTTTGTTTGCTAATAATGAATGGCCAAATATTTTCCGAACACGTACCAAGTTCCGCTAATCCTACGATAGAATGTTCTATGCTACTACCGTTATGCTCTGATTGTAAGAACATCTGGCCATTTTCATGAACTCTACGTCGAGCATGGTAAAAAATAAATAATCGACTCACATCATAATTTTTTTGAGTTTTCCTTTTTATTAAATATTCATATGCCCCTACAATCAAACATTTATAACATGAAAAACGAATTCATATTTACCTGCACAAGCATTTGCGGTACTAAATTAATAGAAATTTGATAAATATCATGATTCAAAGTCAAATATTTTTTACATACCAACTAGCTGTTTTGTCTTGCTGCTCAACAGGTGTCATCATTGAAGTGAGATCGACCTTAGATGGCAGTTTTGAAGGGTCATATTTAACGATATTAGAAAAATTGCGTTGCAAGATTCCATTGCTAAGCTGTGAATTTGGTGCTATAGTACCATCGACCCAAAACCTGTCGTTACTATTTTTGTAATGGATAGAGTGTCGCTTAGACATTACTGCGTTTTGAGTGATAATAGGGAACGAAAAAGATCGAAGAGATACTATCGAATCTGTAAAATTGCGATATGATTACAAATGCACTTTTTCTCTACCTTATATAAGAAAGTCGTTCGTTATTCACATCGATTTACTCTCCTGTTAGATAGGGGCATACGCTATATCGGCAAAATATTTTTATTTTTTCAGTAAGCAAATATCTGAGCTTCATTGTCTTTAGGCTCACTTTCTCTAAGCAAAAAAAGATTTTCGATTTTATTGCACATAATAAACGCACATGGTAGCGCATGAAACAATGCATTTGTTTAATCAATGTCATCTCAATTATTGATGAATAGATAATTATCGCTGAAAAACATGTTGTTGTTTATTTTGTATGAATGCATTCATGCGTATGACTAAAGTAATTGATCCTTGAGTATGTATATAAAAAATTCGATCGTATTAAACCATGAAATAGCTCTCTGCTTTCGAATTAGACTTTTTTATTTTCACAATAGTCAATTCGTGTATCGCAAATCATTGATCATTCGAATTGAACTATTAGAATTATTTGAGGCTACAGAGCGTTGATTCAAAAATTGATTGTATCTAACTCGTATAGCTCTTTTTATTGTACTTTTACATTCATCATTTTCGTTCTTCTCTCCAGTTGCTATACGATGAGTAAGACATGAAATAAGAGCCCTTTCTTTTCTCTATCGAAATCGATACAAAAATATCAAGAAATGTTGTTTTTCTTTTTTTTTTTCATATGACCTCGTTAAGTTGTATATAGTCTATGAGGTTGTGAACAAGAAACCCTCTCGATACTGCATTATGAAAATTACAATATGTTTGAAAGATTGAAGAAATATTGACAGAAAAAATATCGAATATCTATGCAAAAAAAATTTTGCCAGTGTAGGTGTAGAAATTAATCAATTGAAAACAAATCAATCTATATCTTTAAATAATATAAGTCAATTTGCTGCTCTCAGTTTTTGCTTTTCAGCAATCGATGAAGTCGAAATAAAATTTTAAAACTTTTGATAATGTGTTGGAATTAAATTTAATAAGAAATAATGCAGATTTGATTTAACGCCGACGCATTTCATGTTTATTTATTAAAATATTAAAACATTCTTCAGGGCACTGCATTACAATATAAAGCACAACAAGCGAAGTATAATAAAAGAAATTAAACAAATGAAGATATAACATTTTAAGAAGACATTCCAATAAATGAAAACTAATTTGTTAAAGCTCTTTTACATTGAGGCATTATTAGAGGAAGCATGTCTACTCGATTATCAACAAAAGAAAAAAGAAAAATAGAAAATTAGATAAAAAGTTATTTGTTAAGTCTCGTGCACAATCTTGATAACTAGCGACATATACAGTCTTGGCCAAAAGTCCCTCACTCCTCTGAACTTTATCAATATTTCAAGCTTTTTGCTTGAGATTTTGGCTGTATGTGAGTACTGACAAACGCTGATCATAGACATCAATTCAATGTAATAGAACAGAGTTATACACCAAATAACGGGTGGGCCATAATAAATGTCCCAATTTTGCATGTCATTTTTCCACAACTTAATACGTTATATTAGAAAAATAAAATATACCACAGGATGCAGCTTGACAAGCTCTACAATTTACAGAAGACCGCTTTTTTTATAGGTGCACTTTTTGTTTTCAAAATCAACAAAGCAATCAAATTTTGACCACTCGAAAACAATATTTTTTTTCTCCGCGATAGATTGGTTTTTTCTTATTTCATCTTTTTATCACCTGATATCTCTTATTAAAGAAAAAGCAAAATATATCACTAGATGCAGCCAGAAAAGCTCTACATTTTACACGCAACAGCTTATTGTAATTGTTTTGTATTACAGCAAAATTCTCTGCGATCAATTTTCGCACAATCGAAATTTAATCACTCCAAATTTTGATCACTTGTAAAGTAAAAAGTGCAACTATTAAAAAAGAAAGCGGTCTTGTGTAAATTGTAGAGCTTTTCACGTTGCATGTTATGGTATATTTTGTTTTTTTAATACAACGTATTAAGTTGTGGGAAAATGACATGCAAAAGTGGGACATTTATTGTGATCCACCCGTTACTATCGTTATCTTCCATTGGTTATATCTCAGTCACACAACCACTTTGAAAGTTGAGGATCCTACTATTTAAAAGCTTGAATCTTCAGCTTTCTCTAACAAAATTTTCATCAGAAAAATCTTTTGGGTTGCTGAGATATCAGCCTGTTAATGGATATCGACCGAATCACAATTATGATGATTTTCACTTCGTCATACTAAAATATCACCTTTACATTGACCGATTCACTTGAAAATTTGTTTTCAACATACTCATAGATTCAGAAATGTTTCATAAAAGTTGTAGTATTGTAGCTTGTACTAAACTCGAAATACGACGATATAATATTCTCGTCACCGCATGTCTCGCCAAACATTTATGTCTCAATAAATCCAGTTGTTCTGTCTGCCTAGCATTGTACACATTGGGAGCTATATGTATCACTAGAAAAATCTCCCAAAAATCATTTAGGTATAGAATAATATCATTTTTTTTTCTATATCAAATCTTACACTTTCTGTTCGTAAATATTGTCCTTCGTATATATCTAATTTCACTAATATTCAAATAATATGGAATCATCCGATTAATAGAAGAAATTTTCTGATATATACATATATATATATATGAATAAATACTGCCTTATGTCACTTATTTTCAACTGGTAATTATAACAAAGCAACATATGATACCAGATATTGGAATTGAAAATGAATAGTCCTATGAAACAGCAACACATTTTTATTTAAAAAAAAAATTAGACCATGATAATGTGGTATATAATAAATTTTTTTTTTAATTTTTCTATTAAAGTATTGGTCTTCGATGTTTATATATATCAAATACTGGTTTCTTTTTGCTATCGTTAAATGAAAATGTAAATTCTTATAGCCGATAGCTTGAGTGAATTTTGTATGGAATATTGAACGAAAATTTTCAAAACTTTGTTCAATTACAGAACAGATAGATAAGGCTTAGACATTTTATAGATTAAAAAAGTGATCTTCGTGACAATTATTAGGTAGAACAAAATTTACTTTAACTGTTTGTTCACAAATAAACTTCTAGAAAATTTTCTTGATATACTTGTGAATATTCATATAAAGATCATCAATGTTTCTATTTTCATGCATAATTTGTTTTCTTCAAGCATGTATTCGTAAGTAACTACAAATCTAATATCAGACTAAGTTTTCTGACTAAATTGTATATCATATATACTTAAAAGTATACCTTGGAAATCATTGTAGTATAAGATCTGCTCAGCAACAAGTGCTTCACAGGCAGACGAGATAACTCCATGAATTCCTTACTGCTTCGTACTTGTCTCACTGTGGAATACAAACCGATTCAGTAGTTTGGTGATTCGGTGGCCATCAGGTGCTCGTAAACAGAGGCCATAATGATCAATTTTAGTCTTACTATCGTATTTTTTTCTACGGAATGAATAAAACTCAAAAATCAAGAGTCATCAAATAGGTAAGACTTCCATTAGTTTACGAATAATTTCAATAGATAACATAAAGCTCTGTGATAATAAACAGCGACAGCTTCAAAACCAACATTCATATGATTACTTGTGTTAATTAATAATCAATTCATGAAATAATTTTGACATTCAAATTTTAGTTTTAAAAAATAGCATTTAAAATGTGTCTGAACTGAGTGTTTTGAAAGGGACTCTGAAGTCAATTGATAAAATGTGAATAAATTCATTCTTCACATTTCGTTATTTAGATCTTTCATAAGCTGACTTCAACTTGCAGATTGGTAATTCTTTTCAAATATACATATATATTTTTTATTTCGTTTCACAGTAATTTGAAAACAATACAGTAGAAGTTTAAAATCGTTTTTTTCTCAATTCTAAATATCTCTCTATTTCGAATAATGTCATCTAGATGAGATAATGTAACTGGTTGAGTTGCCGATCTCAGAATTACATTAACTGTATGTCATAATTGATTTCAAATAATTCTTTTTCATAGCAAAGGAATTTTAATTTTAACATGCTTCTTTTGTATTTAGAAAAAGGAAAGCAGCTTTCTTACATCAAGATTAACCGATCATTTTTATTCCCTCTTGAATAAAACATTGATTAGGTGACGAAAGCCATCAAATCAAATTTCTATAACTTGGATGCAATTGAATAACATTAATAATGTGGTATTTCTTAAAAGTGAATATTTATTAGAAAGGTACTATAACCGTGAATTTCCACAATATTTCTTTTGTTGCATCGAATAATGTAGCTATTCGATGAGTGTAAGTCTAATGAGTTGATTGCATCGTTCTTTTTTGCATTGTCTTAGATCATCTGTCATGCACATAGACGGATCATTATTGACTCATACTGTTGGTTAACTTATTTATAATTGTCGACTATTCAATATTGTTTCTTATACACTAATACTATATATAAGGAGGTAATAATTATATGCTTTCATTTCTAAATATCAAAATGAAAAAAATTACTCGATTAGAAGACTTATCTAATGAATTGTTCTTCGAAATATTTGGTTATTTACATGCAACTGATAGTTTTACGGCATTTTCAATACTCAATCAACGTATTACATTGATACTGTCTTCAATTTCACTTCGTATTGTTGTTTCCTCACATCAAGCAGTTGCCATTTCTCTTGAGGATTTCATTCGTGATTTTACATCTGTTATTTCTTTCTTTTTCATTCGATATACATTTGAAAATCTTGAACTATGTGCACTTTATTCATCACATTGGTCAATACAAATACGAACTGCATTGCAACAATTAAAAAAATTCTCATTAAACTAAAATCGCTTCGATTTATCGTAGGAAATTGTAGGTAAATTTGTGAAGAAGAGAAACAATATACAAGTCAAACTATTGTAACATATCAATCATCTTCACTTCGCTCGCTCGATTTTATATTTTACTTCAATCATTCGCATTTAAAAACTGGTGTTACTCTTAACTGGACATTAACATCCATGACTTTAACATTTTATGGTTTACCTCATCAGTTATCAATTTATTGTGTTCTATATGTATTTCATATTTATCGTGCATTAAGACGTTTACGTGTATTTATATTAATTCCTGCAAATCCAAATATTCAACATGCATAGTAAGCTTTTTTTATGAAATGATATGATTTCGTATTAGACTATCTGCAAATTGAGAGAAGAAAATAAATAGAGTTTTTATTATGATTGATAGTGGTACAGTAGTTTTAATCAAAAGTTATACTGATGTCTTCTCTATGGAACTGTACGCAAGTATTTAATTTTGACAAGCTATAAAAAGGATTTCATATTTAGCAGAACTTGTTCATTCTACAATGGTAAGACTAGGATATAAAGAAAAGTGTATGAAACAAAAAAATATTTAACCGTGATGAAATCTATGTCATAACTGATACAGAAAAAGAAATAATTCGTAGTAAACTAATGAAATAGAAAAAACCTTCCTGCATATATATTATTGCTAATATTTCTGTTTCTTTGTAAGATATAAAATGAAAGATGATTTTTAATGATGAAATATGATTCTATTGGTTTTAGACAATATACAGTTAAGTGGGGTAATTCGGATCAAATTTTCAAAAATTCATCTTGTTTGTTTTCGTCCTCCTCTGTTATACATCGTATAGACGAAATTTTTATAAGAGAAGTAGAGTGGGGTTTTCTCTATCAAATGACGAAAGAATTTCCAGAAAATCATCTACTGTAAAAAAAGTATCATGAAAAATACTAAAAGCAACGTTGAGGTGATCCGAATTACCCCACTTGGGGTAACTCGAATCATCTAGGCAATCAAGGTGGGGTAATTCGGATAATTCCAGCAAAATTATGTGTAATATTTTCCCCCATCTCATAACTCATTTTCTATCCATCCTCGAAAAATTACTAAATATACCATTCGATAGCCCAAAGTGTCTACTATGGGACCTGAAAATATTTCGATGATTCAATAAAACGTTGACGATGAAATATTCGCTACATTGACACCTCCCTCCATCACTTTTTGATAGCTAAAAATGAATTTGGGGTAATTCGGATCATCTAAGCAATTTTACCCAGGGTAATTTGGATCACTCTAGCTATTTCACCTGGGGTAATTCGGATCGCTACAGCTATTTTAGCATAAATATTATTTATCAAGCTTAGCTGTAGCGATGACGAATCTCTGCGATGAAGTCTGTTAGGCTCAAAGAGGTTTCCAGCTTGCGAAAGGTAGAAAGAACATTTTTTCTTCCTGTGCGAACGAACGTAACAATTCATTTTTTGTAAGACCCTCCTTTCAGTAGAGGGAATATATTTTTTATTTCAATTAAAGATTATAGAACAAATGATTAAATATATTAAAAATATTCTCAATGATATTTATACAAGAAAACAAAAAATTGATTTCACGTTATTGTAAACTTCATGTTAATATTAACAGTCAAATAAATGAAAGAAGAAAAAACAAAAATGTTTTTCCTGTAATAAAAAGCTACTTGGAAGCAATCAATATTTTCATTGTTTTGATTAAATCCTAAAATGACAAAAAGAAAAACAACAATAAATTATAAAAGCATGAATTTTTAATAAAATAAATCAATAGATATTAAAAAAAAAAGATATGAGAATTATAAGTGCGATGCAAAATTACATGCTAATGAATTCGATATAGAAAAGAAAAGAAAAAAAAAATTAAATATATTTTTATCGAACATATTTAAATATTTGAGCGTTAAGAGCAATATCTTACATGAAAGTGTCTGAAAAAATTTAGCTGGCATTTCTGCCGATGAATTATCCCTAATGAAGTTAGTCATTAATATCAAGACAACAAATACAATACAATGTTTGAACTTACTGGCTAAAATATTGTTCAGCTTTCGGATCAAAGACAACTAAAGATACTGATGAACCAGGACCGATTTTATCTGAAAAGAAATAAAAATAAATAACATCAAAAGATTAAAAATAAAATAATAAACTTTGAAAATAAACAGATCTAATCTATTAGTTAATATTCACGAATACATTTGTTATTAACTCATATTACTATATCAAAATATAAGGTGATAGTAGTTATGTCATTTTATTTTCTGTAGGATTACTCTTACTTTTTGTTTTTGTTCTTTATAAAACAATAAAATGACTCGACTCGACAAAAGGTTTTAATTCGTTCAATCTTGATTAGATAAGTCAAACTTATAAAAATTTTAATTATCTTTTACTAACCCGAAACAAATGTTTTGGGTATATCAGGAATCATATCAAGAGAAATCGGAGGCATGCCAGCATGTAAAGCACGTGTTACAGGTCCAAATGTAACATCCCATGTATCTAAATTACCAATCTTTTGAGGTACATAAAGTGGAAAACGACAATGTCCAAGAGTAATCAAATTCAAAACTAAATAAAAAAAAACACAAATTCATATATTTTTAAATGATAATTTTAACTTATACTATTCAGTCGTTGTCGTACAATAACAAGTGCTTGTATACGTGTAGGCATATGTGATGTACGGGCTTCTTTAATTGATAAAACTAATTTATCATTTGGTATATCAATAATAATTCTTTGCCAATTATTGATTGCTGGTTCTTTTCCTCCTATAGAATATTTTTTATTTCTTTTTATTAGAAAAATAATTAAATTAAATTTACATACGAAGTACAGGTAATGATCCAGTTGATACATCACCTATTTTTTCTCCAGCACTATATACTTGAATTTCAATTATAATGGATTTTATATCAAATTCTTGTCGAGATCCTCCATTCTAAATAGATAAATATACAAAAAAAAAATATTTCTAAATAATAAACTACATACAATAGTAATATTAGCAGGTATAGCTAATGTTAATGATATATCTTTAATACCAATTGTTTCTATATATGCTTTTCTTTTATTTGGTATTTGTCGATTATCATCTTGTTTTGAAATAACTGGTTTATATGGATAGAAACGTTGATTCATTGCTGGTATAAATTTAGGATCTTCATTTTTTAAAGCAAGATGAACAAATGCTGCTTGAACATCTGTTGTATGTAAAAGACAAGGTTCATCAAGAAAAACTTTTCGCATTTGATCATAATCTGTTGCATACATAAAACGATCACGAAGTAAATAAAGTATTGCTTTTGTTGCATGTTCTATATATTGTGTATTCCATTTAATCATAAAAAATTGATCCCATATATATAAAGCTGAATTTGTATTGAGAATACCAACAAACATCTAAAGAAAAATTATCTTGAAAATTATCTTGAAAAATACAATAAGTTTTTAAGTTATTTGTGTAACAGAGATGAGCATAGAACAAGATTTTCTTTCCTGTCCTACTAACTATCTCGGTCCTGGCGGGCGGCAGGACAAAGCAAAAATCAAAATCTTATCCTGTCCTGTGCTCATCTCTGTTGTGTAATAAAAACAAAAGATAATTTTTGTGAAAACTTATTCACTATTGAAACAGTATGTAATGATGTTAGAAAATCAAAAGAACTATTGTTTTAGATGAATTTTAGAATATAGTAGTAATTGGTGATACTTCCCTTTCATACAAAGAACAATAGTTCACTAGAATTCTAATTTGTTTCACAAAGTAAAAGTTTGAAGGTGAGCTTGTGTCATAATTAATCTTTTTGTTTTTTGCTATATCTAGAATGTCATTCACTTACCAGTATAGAAAGACATCAAATTCGATGAAATGAAGTTTTCAAATGGTTTGAGAACTTTCATACGAACTATGAATGTTACCGATGAACAATAAATTGATTTCTATACTTTTTTAATTAATCTGAATGAAACGTTCGATTGCGTTACTCTTTTCATTAACACATTCATTATCATTTCATGAATCTCAATAGAGATACGTTGGTTCGAGAAATTATTGGACTCGAGAGAAGTGAAGATAAAAGTTCTATGAAAGATGTACCAATACAATGTTTTAGAAGCTAAGATTCAGTTCAGAAAACGTAACGTAATATATTTTTCAATAATGAGCATTCTAATCATCTCATTTTGATACTTTTTTTTTTAATCCTATAAACTCTCGCTTAATTTCAGTCGATCATCGTTTGACTTTCTGAGATGTTATCTCACCAAACTGTGTTTTATTGTATAACAATAAAAAGTTTCATAGATTCATTGAAGTTCGATTCATTTTAAGTAGAAATGTTTAAACAATGGCATAGATTCTAAGTTTTTTCTTTTGAATAAAATTTATGAAGAAATAGAATATTTCGGATAATTCTCTTTTCATGATACAACTTTTTACTTACTTCACCAATCCATTTTCTAAGAAAAATCACTGGATCAGACATTAATTCTCTTGTATATTGTGTTGCACTACCACTTTGTTTACTTTCTAATGAAATAATTTCTGTAACAAAATCCTAATTGAAAAATTAAAAAAAAAAAATTTGTATTAAATTAATTCTTAAAATTAATTAATTTACTTTTGGATTAACTTTTGTACGTATTTTTGATATTGTTTTTAAATGATCATAAAATTCTGGATCATTTGTTGATAAATCTGTCATTATTTTACTTGCAATTGTAAATACATTTGCCCATTTTGGAAAACAATGACGAACAAATAAATCAAGATGCATTGCAATAACATAAATTTCTTCAGCTATGGAAAAAAAGAAATAAAAATAAAAATAAAAAAGAATATTCTTATTATTATACCTTTATTTTTTTCATCACGATATGATAATTGAAATGGTAATAACCAATAAATAAAATATGGTTCATAATCTTTTTTATATGTATAAAGAACATTTAAAATTTTTATTGTAAATCGAAGATGATGTTCTTCAAGATATGGATGAAGAGCATGAACTTTACTATATGTCTAATAAATAAAAAAATTAAATATTTTATAAAATATTCAAAAGTTACAATAATAAAGATTATTCATAAGCTTATGGTAGCAATTCTGTATTGTATTTATCATTTCCAATATAATATATTCCACTGTTTTTCATATAACTTCTGACAAGAACATTTTACAGATGAAGAATCGGGACTATCGAAATATAATTGATCGATCAGGTGAGTTCTTGGTGTAGAGAAACTTCAGATGTCAATCAACTCACCTATGATCACCAGGAAAAGTAGGTAGGTGAAGATAATTTACTATGCTGTGGGAAATGATGATACTTGCTTTGAGATTCGAATTGATCTGATTCTGTTGTCTCAATATGTCCACAATAGAGCCCGTCGGGTCCAGAATTTTTGGACCCGGACCCGGACCCGATCATTTAAAATTTTTCTACCCGGATCCGGACCCGGACCCGTTTACAGGTTGCTGGACCCGGACCCGGACCCGGTCGCTTAAATTTTTTGGATCCAAACACAATGACAAGTCAGTTTAGATAGTATAGTCAAGAAGGGTTTTGTTGCTTTTTATCTGTTTTCTAAATACATTTGATCTCTTCTTTGTATAAAACGAACAAAACTTTAAAAAAATTCAAAATAAATTGTATGGATCAAAGTTTTCTTCAGGCCTGGATCCGGTTAAAGCAAAATTTTCAGACCCGGACCCGGACCCGGACCCGGTCAAAATAAAATTTTTGGACCCGGACCCGGCCAAAGTAAAATTTTTGGACCCGGACCCGGACCCGTGCGGGTCCGGGTCCGGGTCCGGGTCCTACCCGACGGGGTCTAGTCCACAATGATAATTCCTTTGTTAAATGTAGGCTTATTGTAGAATTTCATAATTCTTCAGATAACAGAGTCTAATCAGTTCGAACTTTAAAAAAAATATCACTATTCGACTCAGTACAATGAATTATCTCTAGTTAGCTGCTTTTCTCAATGATCAAACATTAATAGGCTGAAATTGTAGGTTCGAGAAAAAGCCTTATATCTATCGAATGGTACAAGCTAGAAGAGTCGACCTTGCGTAAATCGAACGAGAAGAATTGTCTTTTATCGATTAGTCCTACTAAATTTTGAATGATTTCTATTTTTTAAAGCATCCAAATTATGGGAATAGTGTTTGTTTAGCTTTTTGTCATGTGTTTTAGGTAACGCTATAAATTTTTCACAGATCAACATACAAATTAATTTGTTCAATTTGTATGAATGTTTATCAGAAGACTTAAGGTCAATCAATAAATTTAATATTATTAAGGCATATCTGTTATTTGTAAACAAATCCTACTTGATACACAAATGGACGTGAAACTCTCACCTTGTACTTGAGGCTTTTATGCCTTTCAAAATGCCCAAAATATGATTCATATATCGTATAATTTTATTGATGTTTAATTAATTCTGTATTATAGCAGAAAAATACATGTTCAACTCGCCATTTTAGAATTAGAAGGTTTTACATCGGAGAAGATCAACATGGATCTATATTTACTATGTTTGTTTTAAAAAAATATTCTATGTCAAATGCTATCAATATTATTTCGTATATATCTGACGCAAACGAAGACAAAACCGAGAAACAAATGTCATTTAAAAAAAAAATCCTACTTCTATAACTGCATTTTCAATTAAATTTGTTACTGGAGTATTTGATGGATTAGTTAATTTAAGTTCAGTTTTACCACGTGTTACACCAGCAGCAAATTCTCGTCTTGTTTGAAGTTCAACAAAACTCTAAAACAAAATAAAACAGTACATTGATTTTTTTCTATTTGAAATTCATTAAATAATATTACAAGATCATAATCAAATGGTTTTTTTTCAAAACGAAGTAAACATTCTGTCCAAATAAATTGACGAAGTGAAATAGGTAATTGTTGACCAAATAATTTTTCTGTTATAAATACAATACGACGAGGATCACGTTTAAGTATTGCAACAACTGAACTTGATACAATATCACTATATTGTGATGTCATAGGAAAAGGTGTATATTGCAATTCTATTAAAAAAGAAATAGATTATTCATATCATTTGTTGAAATTATGTAATAGTGATTAAGTATTAAAATGAGTTAAGTTTTGTTCAAAAAGTTTCAAGTTGGAATTTGAACATCAGATTGTCTAGTGTTCTTAAGAGGGACCACAGTATTCATTTAAAAACTATCATAAAAGTATATTATCTCCACTTCAATAAGGTGCGGACATGAACTCTTCTTAGGATATTCATAAATAATTTGAGTCTATGTATTGCACATAGACTCGACTAGAAAGCGATTTATTATTCGGAGAACTTCTCACATAATTAAATCATTAATCACAAATTAGAAAGACGATTTGCATTTATCCTGTTCAAGTTTGATTCATATTATTCCACCTCTCTATATGTAAGAGAAAAAAAAATCAATTTAAACATGATACAAACCATCGATAATTGGTAATTTTTTTGAATTAGTCTTTGTATCACGTAAAATTGATCGAAGTTTAGTACCTCCAGTTAATTCATCTTGATGTTTTTTTTTATTTATTTCTTGTTGTTTTTGTTCTTCTTGTTTAAGATTTTCTTTTTGTTGTACTTGATATAAATAACGTTCAAGTGATTTACGTACTATTTGATATGTATATTCAAGAAAATTTTTCATATCATTTGATAAATGATTTATACTAAAGAGAATTTTTTTTTTTTTATTATGAAATAATTTAATTAATTAGTTTTTTTTTTTTATACATACTCTTCATCTTCAGTTACAGCTAAATAATAAATATAAAATTATAATACTGAAAATATGAATCTTAATTTAAATACCTGCGCCTATTTCAAGTGCTGATTTATGTGTTTGAATTTGTAACCATGATTTAGCCTCATTTTCAAGTTTGCGGCGATGTTCTTCAGGCATAACAGGTGGAAGCTATATGAAATTAAAAGAAAATTATTCGATTTTAAATAACGAAAAAACAAAATGCCGAACTAATATATGTGGTGTATCAGGTTCGGATCGAAATAATTTCCATTGAAATAATTTTCCAAGTAATTCGATAAGTATTTGACGACGTTCAAGATTATTAAATTGTTGACGTACTTTATTAGCTAATGCTGGTTCAAGATCATCGAGAATCTTTTAAAAATATTTTATTTTAGCAAGAAAAAGATTTATTTCTTTTTTTTTACTTTTTGCCATGGACTATCGGGTAAACATGTTTGTTGATAACTTGAATCAAGCCATTGAATATTAAATGGAAGATGTTTTAAATTCTCTTCTTCTTGATTTACTGTATATTTTTCATCAGTTGTATGATCATTCATTTTTTTTTTTGATTTTAATACTACTGAATATTAGATATAAGACATAATGATTTATATATTGATAATAAATGAAATATGACTTTATTACAAAAAGACAAGATTATATTAGACAACAATCAAAAGTAATATGTAAAAAGTTAATATTGAAGAGCTTCGGTTACTATGACAACGAATTAGAAAACATAAAATATATTATTATATTTCTATCTCGATAGAAACAGTGACATATATATAAAGACATTAAAAGAAAAAAAATTTTTTTTCTTCTTCTTTTATAATTAATATTTTGAATATTTAATATATTTTTATATAGTCATGAGATTTCATTGGTAGTTTCATTCACCAACAAAAGTAATATGTTTAATAAAAGAATTTAAATTTATTTTCAATTTAAAACATTTGTTTTTTTTTTTCGTAGTATAAAACATGACAAGTAAAACAAACAGAAATAGAAATATTTTTCTACAAATACATAAAAGAATTTTGGACATATTGCATCACTTAAGATTCTTTTTTGTTTTTTTTTTTTTTTTTTTTATTAAAATTATAAAATATATAAGCACTATTACCTGTAGATATATGCAAGAAAAAAGAAAGAACATATTTATGGAATGATACAACTCTCACAGAAACAGACAAAAAAAAAATAATAATAATCAATCACCGGAAAGATGCATCAGAAATGTTCATCAATAATAGAATCTTTAGATGATAAATTCGAATAACCATATTGTTCAGAATCAATTTCAGTAGTTATTATTTTCTTAGAAGGATTTGAATTTTTATTTATTTGTTCTTGTATATTAAAATCAATTAATTGAGAATTTGATGATGATATTGTATTTGTTTTATTGATCATTGTTGATTGTTGTTTACATTTAGATTTTGTTTTAAATGGAGCATTTGTAAATACATCTGTTGATAGAGATGATTGATTATTAACTACATTCGAAATAGAAGTTTCTGGATAAGAAATTTTACGTAATGAATTATTAGAATCATATATTGTTTCCAAATCTAAATATAAGTAAATTTATGTTTTTTTTTTGTATAAGATTTGATAATAAATTACTCAAAAAAAAAAAGATGAAAAAATTTACCATTATTATCTAAATTTATTTCTCGTTTTTGATAAGGAGCAAATGCACTTGTTCTTTTTCCAATAACGATACTGTTCAGATCATATGAAGATGAATTAGATGTTGACGTTTGTTTATTTGATGATGATGAATGATGAAAAGGTGCAGAAAGAAATGGATTAGTATTATTATCAATTAATGATGGATTTATTTCATTATGTTTATTTAATGAATATTTGAATGTTGATGAATTTGTTTTTTTATCTAAATAAATAAAAAAAAAAAAAAAAATTGTTAATACAATTATATATGAATATTTTTCATTATTCTTTTATTTAATCTTCTTGAAATTTAATGACAAACTCATTTATGAATAAGGATGAACTATATACTAAAGTAACTGAGAGAAAAATCAATTATTAAAAAAAGGTAAACAGGTGTTATCGTAATGAAACAAAAAAAAAGAAAGCATCCATATGTATTTTTCCATCTATAATGTTTAGCATAAATATTGTATTCCATTCCAGTATTATCCAGAGAAATATCTAAAATAATACGTCACTTTTGAAATTATTATGTAGAACCTTTTTGAGACTAGAAAAAATTTGAAAATTATGTGCTGGCCTTTTAGAGTTATGATCGTTAAGGCTAAATTTTTTTAACTTTCATGATATTTATTTACGGACAAATGAATTGTGATCAAAAGCTTTGCCCATAGACAGTTGAAGCCATCAGAATATTGTAAAAATTTACAGGTAAAAACAAAACAGTGGTCCTTTCTCAAGGTATGAAATCCACGAAAAAGTCTAGATTTTCTGTCCTTTTTCGAGAGAATATCATGATTTTTCTTCTCAATGAACAAATTTTTAGACCGAAATTCTTTTGTTCGAGTTTTTTTAAATATCATTTCAAAAGTACAAAAACAAATCCATTGTAACAATCGTAACTCCAAAAGGATAGCGCATCGAGAAAACTCCCTCTAGTCTCAATAGATCCTACGCAATGACTGAAGTCTCATGTCAATCGTAAAAAAATCATCTCGAATGGTTCTCTCATTAGAGAAATCGAAGTAACTCAATAGTATACTTTTTCATATATAATAAAATTTCAAAAAATCAAGTTATGACTGTAAAATTATTTCTTTTGCTCTTCGCTCCATGTTCGATAAACTCAAAATTATACCTGTAAAAGATACTAATAACGAGATGTTATTGATGAAGAAGATATTTAAATTTTTAATACTTGAATATCAATATTCTTTCTTAGACGATATTTTTTAAAACTTAAGAAAAGAAAATTGTAATGATAATGATTTTATTTTACATACTTGTTTGTTGTTCATCATTAGAATTATGATTAATAAATTGATCAAAATTATTTTCTTTTGAAGATTGAATAAAATTTCTATTATTTGTATTTAAAAATGAAATATTTTTTTCAGCCTCCTCCGTTGATGGATGATGATGATGATGATTAATATTCTATAAAAAGATAAATATGAATAGAAAAAAAAAAAAATTAAATTAATTTAAAAAGAAAAGAAAAATGAAATAATTTGTACTAATATTTGTTTAATAAAACAAAACTTACTTGACTTATTAATTTATTATGATTAGATTTGTATGTTAATATTTGATCATCATCCATTGTTGAAGAATCATAAATTTTTAATTGATTAATATCATTATCGGATATATCATCTTGATCAGAAGAATCAACGAAGGAGGCGTTTTGAAAAGACGATTGCATATTCGTTGGACTTATTGTATGAGATGAACTACGTCGATGTGTTTGAATATTCGATGAAGATGGTGGTGGTGGTGGTGGAAAAAATTGTTGTTGTGATATAAGACCAGATGTTGTTGAAATCATTTCTGATGTTGGTCGTGCACGAGATATAAGTTTTTCATTTTTTGTTTCTACTGGTGTTGTTGTTGTTACATTTGGTATATTAGTTAAACTAATTGCATGTGATGGAATTTGTGAAAAATCATCATCAAACATTAATTGAGTAGCTGAACCAGCTCGTGATGTATTTATTGATGGATTTGGTGGAGCAAGAGTATTTGATGATGATTGATTAAAATTAATTAATGATGTTGATGGTGTCATCATACCACGTGGACGTTCACGTGGATTAACTGCTGTACCAATAGATAAGAATTCATCGGTATTTGTTTTTGTTGTTGTTTTAACTTTTGATAAAGAAGCTATTCGTTGATGACGAGATTCGGTATCAGTTAAAGGCATTGATATTGTATTTAAATTAGGAATTTTTGATTGACATCGATTTGGAATAGGACATTCACTACCAAGTAATTTATATGTAATATAGGATACCTAATTAAACAAAAAAAAAAATAGTTGAAATTTAGAGAGTTTTATTTTCAAATTGATTTTATTAAAAGATTTTAGAAGTCAATCGATAAAGATGAATCAATAATTTATTATTCAATATTTGATTAAGAACAAAATGTAAGATTAGAATAAGTAGTTTAGTTTTGATACTATATATTCGAAAAATTTATATTTAATTTATTAGAAAAAAAAAAAACTTGATTTTTTTCATGGTTGAAACCTAACTGATAGAGATTGAAATTTCACGGGTTAAAAGTTTTCAAAAATCTTCTTGTTTTTGATCATAAAAATCAATGTGTCACATATTATTTCTCAGAATGTATAAAAAGAAAGTGCTCAAAATCTATGTTATATGAATCATTTTTTCTGAGGTTTTCTTTAAAAAAAAATTCATTATGATGAATGTCTTTTACACACATTCCTAAACTATTTCATATTTGAAGTAATTCTTTCTAAACGTCATTTTTCCGTCGGTTTTCACTGAAATTTCATCGGTTAGACATGTGATTCCAATTAGTCGATTTCCTGCTGGATCAAATTGTTCTACTATTTCTTAAATATTTCTTACGAAAAAAAACATGATATTTTTTTTTCTTCTGTTTTCGTTTTAGATTAATATCTACTCTGTATACCTAATCATTTTCCATTATAGTCTAATAGTTTATTCTCGTACATATTTATCATCATAAAAACGAGAATATATTCTAACCTGCCATATATCTGGTCGTTTATTAATATCAATTTCTAACATATATCGTACAAGTAAATTTAATTCTCGACTATAAGTTTGTGACATATCATCTGGTATAATATATGTACCATTTTGTATAGCTAAAATACTATCACCAAATGGCATTATATTATACATAAGTTTATATAAAAGACAACCCATTGCCCATATATCAATTTTAAGTGTTAATGGTAAACGACTATATAAATCAATCATTTCTGGTGCACGATAAGATAATGTTGTATAACGTTGAATTTCTTCTTCAAGTTGTTGAATAATATTTGTTGTTAATTCATTTTTTTGATATTGTTGATAATCATTTGTATTTGATGATGGTAATATAATAGCTGAACCAAAATCACAAAGAACATAATTTTGTTTTGAATCAATAAGAATATTTTCCAATTTAATATCACGATGTAATATTGGTTGTGGACGACGAAAATGACAAGCACTTACAGCATTACATATATCAGCAAATATACGTAAAATTTGACGTTCATTTAATATTATACCAACATTACGTTGTTCATTTAGACGTTTCTAAAATATCAAAAGAAACCGAATAACAATGATGATTTTTTAAGATTCATATCAGAAATGAAATTACAATACGATTGATAGGAATATAGCTTTCCTGACAGAATATTTGTCAACACATTCCTCTGAACTTTGACATAATGTAATAGTAAATAGAACGTGGATAAAAATATACATTAGTGATTACAAACTATATATATATGTATATGTTCTAACAGCATTAGCTACAGCCTTTACATGTTATAAAACTATTATTCTATCTACAGTAGCCGTCAATAGAGACTATCGAATTCAAAATTTTCAGCTTCGAGACCAACCCGATGGGTCCGAGTTATCAAAAGTCTCTAAAAACATGCATTCTTGAATCTCATATTTTTACTATAGCAAAAGCTCTATGGACCTTGATTACAAATAGTCACCAGGACTACATTGATCTTCATATGAAGAAACTAGAAATTTAATATAAATTTAGATATTTCAACATTGGTAAAAAATTTTATAATGTTATTCAAGAGCTTAGTACTATCTCTCTCTATTATCATTGATAAACATTTATCTAATTTTGTAAAATTATTTTCCAATAGTTCTGATTTGATCAAATATTTTCTTATAATTATAGAAATTATTAGAGCAGAAATCATTGTTTTCTCAAGATTACAGCAGATTGAAATCTCCTACCTTTGATCGAGTTCCAACATGTGAAACTTTATTATCCTATAAATAAATAATATCGAACCAAACAAAAAAAAACAAAAAAATCTTCTTTATTTTTGTTACGATCGAAAAATATAAAATAATTATTATTTTTTTTTAAATGACTTACAACTAATGTTCCATTTGAACAATATTCTGTTAATAGAAATATTTCATAAATAGCATCATCATCATAATTATTATTATTATTTTCATTATTTTCTATATAATATTGATGTGTTTGGATATTTGTTGATAATAAACGATGTATATATGAATCAACATATTTAACAATATTTGGATGTGATGAAAATTCTTTTACAATAGATATTTCACGTTGACAAACATTTAAATCACGTTGATTATTAACATACATTCGTTTAAGTGCATATCGTTGTTGATTAAATGAACGAACAAGAAAAACAAAAGCAAAACCACCTTGTCCAAGTATATCTTCAACAATAAATTGATGATAATTTATTGTTAATATTTTTCCTATATATGATGTTATATCTGTAACATTTGTCGATGATGATGATTGTTGTATTGTATCATGTAGTAATGATTGATTATATATGGGACGTATAGATATTTTTTGTGGACGTATCATTGACTAAGCAGCAAATGGCTTAGTTCATTTTTTATTTTATAAATATTTTTTTTGTTTTTTACATCTAGAAGAAGATCGTGTTTATTTTTTTTCTATACATATATTTAAAATTTGTATATATGATATAAAGTTCTATGTTTTTTTTTTTTTGTCTTTTTGAAAGGATGAAAAAGGAAGAAGAGAAGAAAAAAAAAATACAATAAACGAGAATGATCGGACTAAGATGATTTTCTTTTTTTTTGTTGTTGTTATGTTTTATGGACTTGATGATGAAGCTGATGCTGCTGTTGCTTGAGCCTCTTGACTATTATTATTATTATTATTATTATTGTCATTATTATTATTATTGTTTGATGGTGATTTATCAATGGATTTTTTTTTCTCATCATCATCATTATCATCAGTTAATTTTAAATCATTTGTTATTTGATCAGCCATTATAGATTCTTCAACTAATTTACGTACTTTTGATTCATATAAACGACGATTTTCTAAAAATAATTTAGCTGCTTCATTATTAGCTGGAGAATTTGGATTAGGATCATTTAATAATGAACGTATTGATGTTAATATAGCACATACATCATATGTTGGACTCCAATTTCGTTGTAATATATCCAAACAAATACTACCATCAGCATAGACTAAAATGTTATTTGATTTTATTTTCTATAGATAAGTTGACATTAAAAAAAGATAAAAGTTACATTGAAGAAAAAAAAAAGAAATTAGAATCGATAATCTTATAGATATATCTAAGATTTTTCTAGATTGATACAAGCGATAGAGAATTATCATAGAATGTTTTTATTTTAGAAATGAACAAAACAAAAGTTTAAGTCTTTTCTTGATAATAAATGAGTTAATATTGATAAATAGAATTTTATATATACAAATATTAAGAAAAATATTTGTAGAAAATCTCAATAGATGTTGTTATGAAAAGAAATAATTGAGCATATGTAATATCAAAACTTAACAAAATGATTTTTAATCATTATTAATTTATTTATTTATCTATCTATTTTCGTTACTATTGATTATTTATAATCATTTATTAAAAAATTATTTTCCTACAGATATATATATATATATAAAGATAGTGTAATGAATTAAATTAATTATAATCATAATAATAGTTTATATAAAATACTGCACAGACAGAACGAAAGCGTATCTTGTCATGAGCAAATCAAATTTAATTCTACCTTCAATATCGTTCATATACATAGATCATCTTTGTTCATTTTGTTTTCTTATTAAAACTTAATATATGTATATATTTTTTTTGTTTATAAACTTACCATTTGGATGAAACATTTTACAAGTAAATCTAACATTAGGTGGTGTTAATGGATAGGTATCTATAAAAAAAAAAAACAAAAATAATTTATTTTTCTTTTTTGTTTTCTTATTTCTCAAAACCTGTGAATTCCATTCGAAGTGTAAATAATCCATCTTCATAACATGTATCGGCTGGTCCATCGATTAAAGCATTCCATACACGCATATCATTATCAACAGGGGTTGCATTGATACCTATTCAAAATAAAACATATATATATATAGGAATAGTTTTTGTAGAAATTTTGATTAACCTGGTAATTCTTCACTTTGAATTTTTTGTAAATCTTTAAATAAACGTCGTTGACTGGTATTTGAATTCGACATTTTACATTCGTTTTAGTTTTTTTTTTTTCTTTTTTTCTTTCTTTTTTTTTTAATATCTAGATAAATAAGATACAAAATTTATAAAAGACAAAAAAAAAAAACTATACATATGACTTGTGTAGGCGAGAGAAAAAAAAACAAAACGAAATAATAGTTATACGATTAACTGACAAATGTCATTATATATATATATATACGAACTTTCAACAATAAGTCAAATTACTGTAATATGATGCAAGTGATCGATGTAAAATGTAATAAAAAACAAAAAAAAAACAAAAATAAATATGAATATTCCTATTAATGATATAAGTTTATAGTTTATTAAACGATAGAGATCACTAGATATTGAAATAAAAAATGAATGGATAGGATGAATGAAGCAATGGAAATAATTCTTGTATAAATAAATAAATAAGGTACGTCATCAGATAAGAGCGCTATCTACCATTATCCTTTATATTCTGATTGGTATTTTAAAAAAATTATACTAGTTACGAGTAACGTAACTATGTCTAAAAACAAAACATCAAAGAACGCAGTTTTCTTAGCGTGTAATTCAGTGATTATGAGTTCTTACGCGTTGAGATTTCTTTTTCTGCAATTCAGGTTATCAAATCAACATTATTATACAGGAGAATAACTAATGCAATACGAAACATTACTAATATACATATGATTCATAAATTACAATATAAAAGTCATAGTAATAATGACGTTTGACATGATTCTTATCATATTGAAATTGTTTATCATAAATACAAATAAAATACTCATGTTAATATCACCAAATGAACTTCATAACTAAAAAAAAAAGAAACAAGTCTGATTTCATTATAAAACATAAATCTTATGTTTTATATTTGTTTATTTAATAGTATATAAATAACAAAGAAAATAATTAATTATATCATTGTTGTATTGAAATGTTTTTCATTTCTGAATTATATTTTAATTTTATCAGATGATAATTAGAATAAGTAAAATAAAGTTATAGAACAATGCAAAAAAAAAACAACATTTCAAGATATGAAAATAATTATATAAAATTCTTAGGTGAAAAGCAATTATTTTTTTTATAATTGATAAAGACAAATTAAAACTATGGAAATTATTTTATATAAATATCAATCAATTATTATATTATCTTCAACATATTAAATACACATATCGTATAACCTTGATGTACAATATTTCTTTACTAACTATTTAACTGACAAGTCCCCTTCACGATGATATATTTACTCTAGGAAAGTTGTCTATTAAAAAAAAAAAAATATCATTAAAAGTTCTTATGGAAAATATGATTAACTTTTAGTGTAAAAAGAAAAACAATTGGAAAACATAAATAATAAAAGATTATGTTATTAACAATCTAAAGTCTTTTCTTTTCGACGATAATATGATAACAATATTAAAAAAAAATTCATATAGAAAAATGTAAATAAAATTATGAATACTATAAAATATTAGCTATTGTCCATTTTTCTTATTTTATAGTGAAAACTTTTTTTTTTTCAAGTATATGATCATCAATCAAAAAAATAAAAACTGACATACTAATGAAGGTTAAATATGATTATGAGCAAAAAAAAAATAGAATTGACATAAAAGAAATATTATCCTTGATAAATAAAAGCATAACCTTAGATTTACTATATGATTTTAAAAATGTTGTTAATTTAATATATCTTTATTTATCTTTTATGATTATAACCACAGATGTGACAAATCTATAATATATATTATTATAAAAAAAAAAAAGAAAACATAACAAAACCATTAATATTCAAGTCAATCAGTATCAAATTGATGTTCAATATTTATTAGTAAAATAAAAAATGTCTTCAATTTATAAATATACAAGCAGGTCAATTAGATAAATATATAAAATCTTGATTATTGTTAAATATATGAAATTCATATTAATTATTAATCTATTCTTAGTAAATAGATGATTTTTTTTTTCACTATCGTTTTCTTAATTTTCATAACAGTTTATTTACAAAGAAAAAAAAAAAAAAAGTAACACAAAAAAATCAATCTGATATTCATACTAGAATAAAATATGTTGCATTCATTGTAATTTGCGACATATGCAATACATTTTAAATGCGTAGTTTAAATCGATTCTTCAATACATCTATAATTTTTTTTCGATAGAAACGAATAATTACTATTTTTTTTTCCAATTCAATTCAATAATCGAGAAATAATCTAGACAAATAGGTGTATATAAAAATATACAAGTTCAGTATGTTTAATTAAATTAATTATATCTAACTGCATACGCTAAATAAAACAACGAATAAATATTTAGTAGATAGACTACGAAATATATTTTTTTTTTGTGTCATTTCATCGATCCAAAAAAAAAGACGTGCATAGATCTTGAACAACGGCCGTCTTTTTTTTTTTTTTTTCTTTCTATTTTGTATGCTTGTCGTTGATTTCTCTGTTAGCGATTTTTCTCTCTATGTGTGTATAAAGCAAATACATTGAGTAGATATTTACTGCCGCTCATTTTTATATAGTATGAGTACGGATGTTTAGGTAAAGAGAAGATTAAATACCAAGAGTTAGATTCACATCCATATATACTTCCAATTTTTTATCACAACATTTTTATAAAATAAGTAATTGCTATTGACTATGAATATTATAAACACCTACAAAATACAATCTTGTTCGTATCTCATATCTCAATTATTTACTCTCTAGACTGACATTTGCCGTTCTTCAGATAAGTGTAATGTTGTAAATTTAAAAAACGACATTTGTTAAATAAAGACTATATACTCAATAAAAAGTCGAATTATTTTTATGATAATAAATTTGTTTATATTCTATCGTCAATAAAACTAACAATACTCCATATTGAAGATTATTACAATTTTTGTTTCTTATTGTTAATGATTCCTTCTCATATTAACTCTGAATGTTCTTGTCTTAAACATCTCAGAATTAAATAAATTGGAATTGAAGTCTCAAATAGTTCTTACTTGATGGTAAGTCATTAACTAATTATGGTTACTCATATCATTTAGTAAATATTTTAGTGTAAAATTTTATATCTCTCATATTATTTTTTTTGTTATTTTAACATGAAATTGATATTTATCTATTTGTGAGACCTAGTAAAAGTATAACATAAGGAAAATAGTTTAATGATTCATGTCTTTAACCAGCCTTAGAGATTGAAATTCAAAGAAGTCTGTTTGGATAAAATTATTTTTTTTTTTTTTCCGAAAGAAATTCGATATTTCAACTAAGACGATAGTTCAACATTTGTTTTCTTTTTGCAAATATTTGTAACTATCATATATCTA